ATCAGGCATCACAAGAACCATCACAAGAACCCAGGCAACACAAGAACCATCATAAAAACCCAGGTAACACAAGAACCATAATAAGAACCCAGGAAACACAAGAACCATCACAAGAACCATCATAAGAACCATCACAAGAACCATCATAAGAACCCAACAACACAAGAATCATCATAAGAACCCAACCACACTAACTGAGACCAAGAGGACCAAAGATTTAAAAAGATGTAAGAAACTAAAAGCGCTAAAAGCAAATCAAAAGAGAACAGCAATAAGAAGGTAAGAGCAGTAAAAGAACAGAAACAAGTGGTTAAAGGATGAAAAAAAACTATAATATTAATACAAATAAAAGGTAAATATAAATATAAAACATAAATAGACAAAGTAAGTAAGATAAGAAATGACAAGTTAAAACATAAGAGGAGTTAAAGATAAGAGCATAAAATTAACTTTCCATGTGATGTTGTTACCCCTCTTCATTCCACTTATTAACTTGATTGAAGAAATAAAACTTTGTTATAAGAAAAATGTGGTTTTGGCTAACCTGGTAGGCTACTCATGGTGATTGTCAGCCTACAATTTTGAACCCCCTTCTTAATACCCAGACTACTACTACTTTTATTTAATTTTCACATTAATCTACAATGCATACAATTAAGACTACATGTAGTCTACTAATCCAAACTGAAAGAGGAATCGGGTGAAGTAACAGGATCAAAAAAATATTTGTGCCATCAGTGGCAACAGTGGTTTGGCTCGAAAAAGGAAGTCTGTGAAGTCAGTGGTAACAATGTTGCATGTGCTAATCTTTTGTAATTTTAAATACTTTATTGGAGTGAGTTATGTCCGTGTTTTAAGATTACAAAAGAAAATAATTTGCTAGATTAATTTTGGATTTTCAGGAATGGAGTTCCAGAGCTATTCTTACATTAAGTCTCATTTGAACATTATTTTATTGTTTCACAATGTTGCTTGTTGATATTAGATTTTTACTTTTTTGACACTGTGCCACTGTATTTTGCAGATACAAAAAGCCGTCCAATTGTCCCTTTAGCGTTTGCTAATTATTCGTTTAAAACTTCAAATGAGAAAAGTACACATCAAGAAGAAAGCTCTGCATGACTTCATCAATGTGTATCTGTTTTGTGAATGTGTCTGTTTTCCTACTGAATGTGCTAAGGGCTGTCAACTTATACTAAGGGAAATATTTCTATGGACATTAATGTCAAGTAATTTTTTCTTCAAAATATGTCTGTGTCAATCATTGGTGAAGAGAATGCGTGGAAGTACATATATGTACAACATTTCGACTGATTAGCTTTGAAGCCTTTAGAATGTGTTTTTGACACACTTGTGCCTCTCTACTTTGTATTCAGGTGTTACGTGTGTACATTGTATGTAGGTCCTCTTCTGGCTGCCATAGATACAGTATAGGCTATGCTTGCCTTCTTCAAGCGATCAATTCGCAACCATTCTCTCAAACTCGCATCCGCGCAGCGTGGCTGCTCACCTGTTGATGGAAAAGACGAGGAACCCTTTTAATCAAATCAGTTAGCCTACAAAACGGTGTTTTATTGAAGCTAGTTTTCCCATGAGAATCGAATCAGCTTGATATAGGCGACACGATGACGAGAGCGAAATATCTATGTTCGCTTTTAGCGGAGCCTAAAACCTGCAGGGGCTGGACGGAAGCAAAAGGAGACCACGTCGAGGAAAAGAACTGTCGCCCGAACAGGGACTTGAACCCTGGACCCTCAGATTAAAAGTCTGATGCTCTACCGACTGAGCTATCCGGGCTCTGAAAAACTGTACAAGTGAACTCAGATTATGGAGTTAACCATATTATTTACTGTATCGCGGTATGTCCGAAATCACATGGCGTCGGCTACCTATACCCCCAGGTCCCCCGGGTGTAGGCCTACATTTGCACGCTTAATATTCAGACAAAATGAAATGTTGGTCTGATCTATACAAATAGCTATTTAAGCGACCACTATTCGTCATTTTGAGCTGCTCAAAAACGTGTTCTCGTTATTTAAGTTAGTAGCAGAGCTTGTTGGATTTCTGATTCTGCTAAATCCACTCCATTAGCCTAAAACTTAAATGACTTCATCACAAGAGGGAAAGGAAGATCTCAAGGAAGTCACTTTAGCCTACAGTAGTAGGCTACATTTTTAAACAAAGTGATCACAGTCGATGCAGGGGTCTGCCTCAGTAAGGCCTAGAGACCTTTTAACTCTTTAAGAAATAAAAAGGGCATGAATTCAAGACATCATAGTAGCCTAGGCCTATAACATTATCTCACATTACGCCTAAAATGATTAAATTATAAGAAAGTTACAAGATAGGAATAATTAATTTGATCAGATAGTCAACAGATCAAAATGTAACATGACACAGAGTGAAGAAAGTATACATTTAAAGAAATACATGATCAAATAAATCATCCTTCATCATCCTGCTTTGCTATAAAAGATAGGAAATGACTTCTTTCAGAAAACACTCAAATAGAAAAAAAAAAATGTTGTATAGGCCCCAGCGAGATTTGAACTCGCGACCCCTGGTTTACAAGACCAGTGCTCTAACCCCTGAGCTATGGAGCCTTGGATACTCAATGTGACGTCACATTTCTAAAAAAATTTAGACTTCTGAGCTCTTACTCCTGACAAGCCGAATATCTGAATAAAGGTAGCCGAAATAGCCGATTATTTCGCTGTGGATGCTGGAAAACGCTCTGCTAGCCGCACTGAAACGACGGTAGCCTGTACAGGATTAGCCACATGTGAAAAATACGTAAAAAAAGACAAATTAAACCCGCTATGAAAAAAAAGTAATACAAATTGTAGTGTGTTACGGTATATCCTACCTACGACGCGGCATGGTGAGCTCAGACTCAGACATACGGAACTGAAGGTTTTTTATTTTATTCTGTGATGTCGACGGGTCTACGCTACTTCAAGAGCCCTTAAAAACAGCTATTTCCGCATTGTCCAGCAGGTGGCAGTATGTGGCAGCTTTTAAAATGGTTTGCACCCAATATTTACAGTCTGTGTTTGCGCCCCTTAAAAGATAATCCTTTATTTATCCCACAATGTGGAAATTTACATTGTTACAGCAGCAAAGAGAGAGAAAAATTAAGAATGTACAAAAACATAGATACAAAAAATAGATTTAAAAAAATAGATTTATAAAATAAAATAAAATATATAAATGCACACTTCTTCTTCACTTTGCCCCCACTTCAGTTTATTTAGCCTATATTTAGTTTAATTTCATCAAAAATAAAAGGATATGTCTTGATTCGTATTTATTTTACAATAGGACTAGTGTGTAATGGTGGTCGTTGTTGTAGGTAGGCTAATTTTGTTTTTATTGTATTAGATTTTACTGTTGATGTTGCCTTAGATGTTCATTGGCTCCTGCTGCAAAATATAATTTTTCCTTGTGGGACAGTAAAGATAATGTGAATCTGTATGCAACTGACAAAAGGCAAAGGGCAATAAAATGATTTTGGTCAAAGTAGTCAGTGATCACAACCATAGACTGTAAATATTAATATTACTACAGGAGACCAAAAATCAGGCAGGCTACAACAAAATGACGATATTTAATTAATAAATTAACCCACTAAAGATAGGCTACTTATTTCAGAATCAGTTTAACTGGCCAGATGTGCTTACACAAATTAGAATTTCATGATTTTGTTTAGATCTAACAACAGGTAGAACCAGACTGAAATGTGTTCAACCCATAGACTGTAAATATACTCAGTGGGAACTCATCAGGCTTCAACTATTTCTGGAGACCCCCTTTCTATTGGTCTACGATACCATGGGGCGTGTTGGGGGGGCTGCTTTCCTCCTAGCCCCCTTTCCAAACCTTAAACTGAGCTTTATAGCGCAAAGGAGAAGATGGACCCGAAAGGATAAAATTAATAAGCATGGCAGAGTTCATTTCAACGCACCATGGACGATCTTTACTGTATTCCTGCCCATGAAATATTAGAGGAAACCTAGCCCAGTTCCTCTCTGTTTTAGGATTTTGCATTTTATTTCAAATAGAAAAAACGAGGTTGCTTTGATCCACCATCCGGAGAGGGAAGCAAGGAAAGAGCCATGGTGGAGACGATCCTGTATTTTCCTCCAAGGGTTTTGGACAAGGAGGGTGGACCCAGAAGTGCATATTAAAAGGTGGATGTTTAATTAAACTAATAAGATACATAATGTGGTGCGTGTGAACTCAGAAAGTATAGCCTAGTGTAGGCACTATAAAACTTGTAAGATGGGACAGACCTTAATCAATTCAGTCACTACAGAATAATATAAAGTGCTTTTTGGCCCTAATGCACGTTGGCGAGCTTTTTTATTTTATTTGGGTTAGCCTACATTTGTCATCAGGGTAAACTTTGAGGATTGTGTTCACGGGATCGAGACCAGTTGAACCTGTTCTGGTGAGGTGGTATACCAGATTGTGCTACCTTCTGAGGCTATTCGACTCGCGGGGGCGCGCACATCTGAAGCGTGCACTGTTAGTGTGTAATGTAACGCAACAAACTCTGTCAATGAAAAGTGTGTGTCTTTAGGTTGAATCTTTTAAATGTCTAGTTGAGACAGGAGTGGATGCAAATCCCGGAATGTAAACACCTGAATGAAAAATGCAACCACACTGTAGGGTTACGTGTGTACGCGTGTTTTTCTCTGATAATGTAGTTATCAAGTTAAAATGTCCTAGGGGGAAATAATACTCCACAATTAGAAGTCTGATTTAATATGGTTTAGTTTAAAACATGTAGATGTAGTTTCAAAACACACGAAAGAGTTCGCCCTGACAGTGGGACTATAACCTACTTTTAGTATAGCCTACTTGTTAAAATACTACTGTCATTCTTGAAACGTTCATTCTTGCTGTTGCATCGCAATGCCCATATTATTGAGCTGGGCGCGCTCCCGCGAGTTGCACGCAATCCTCGCCGTGCAGCAGAACTCGACGTAACACCTGGTCGGAGTGTCGTCTACTACCGTGGCTGCGCTGTTTGGAAGAAGCACTACACTTTCTCAACATTTCGGTATGCAACGCCCCAAAACTACGAGAGGGAAAACACAATAAGCTGTTGCTATCGCCGCCCTTTCGTTGTGACTAATAGATGAAATATCAACCCAAACGTGTTTTTTTTTTAAAACCGTATTTTCCCCCAAACTGAGGGGGGTTTCTTATCACAAAAGGCCGTCACTGGAGACACACGACTCGCCGGAGAAGCTGCCCGTGTGGCTGGAGAAAGGACTCAAACATATCGACCTCAGTAGCCTCTAGGCTTTCGGGTCCGTAGCGTATACTTGACGGCTGTTTGGAAAAAGCTATTATCGGTTATGAGAAACACGGAGCAGCGAGGACCGTGATTTCCTTCCCCGCTTTGCCATGCACGGAGCTCGGATGTCCGCAGAAGAATGTGTCGGTCTCTCCCGGCGTTAGCTCCGCTGTGGCTCCATGTAAGACAAACAGCTTTGTTTATCTCTGGGGTAGGCCTACTGTGTGTGTTTTTATTCATTTGTCACATGAAATAGTTAAACCGGAATTGAAAAAACAGACAGAATTGTGTGCAAATGCCCCATTGTTTTGCTCTGTGGTTGGCCTCTCTTGGCCTCTTCACAAATCTCTCATGAGGCTACATCAAACTACAATGGAGAAAAAGGTGATTCCCTGAATGTTTCATCCTTAAATGTGTCCTCTTGTAGGGCCAACAGTAACAACATGCTCCTGGCCTCTGCCGTGGTGGTGTGGGAATGGCTGAACGAACACGGCCGGTGGAGGCCTTACAGCCCCGCCGTCTCCCACCAGATAGAGGCGGCCATCCGGAGCAGCGACCCCCGCGGAGGGAGCGTAGTCCTCGGCCAGGTGGACAGCCGGCTCTCGCCCTACATCATAGATCTCCAGTCCATGCACCAGTTCAGACAGGACACAGGTAAGACAGTGAGGGATGTACTGTACAGGGATGTGATGTTTGGGGTTAACGAGGACCATAACACACCCTTGTATTACTGGCACAAAATTGCATTATGGTACTTTAGGGAGTTGTGTCACTGTGCAATCCGCCTCTTTGTAATGGCATGTTGTTTGCAACTAATCCCCTCCCTGTGTGTGTGTGTGTGTTTTTGTTTTTTTTACAAACATGCATAGTTGCATAAAGTCTTATCTCTTCTTTCTGGACCCCAGATGTAAAAATTAAGGCAAGTCGTTCTCCAAAAAAGAACAACCTTTATTTTCACGTCATTCTCATTATTTGAAAGTGTATGTTCAGAGCAAAAAGGGAGCACATTTATCCTGAAGTGCGATTCCATATAGAGCCAAGATACTAATGTGAACTTGCCCCAACCAACGAGATTCACAATCATTTGTGTCTTTGCTTTATGTGGGAGTTAAAAACTACAGTGAGGAAATCTGCATAGTGCTGTGTTAAGTCGTGAGATTGCTTACAAATGGTTCATCTAACCTTAGTTCAAAATACAATCATTTTTAAAGTTGTGTTTCATCTTGTAGGTAAAACCTGGTATAACATGCATTTTTATGTTTCACAAATCTATTCTGTGATTCATAATTAAAGGCATCTTTTCACCCTGTTCATTGCGATCAAAGTGCAGCAACATCAGTTCATTTCTGGTTTATAAAGCATTATTAAGAATGACTGCAGTTGATGGTTGACATGCCAGATCAAGTGAAACTGGTGCTCTCCACACACAGGTGGATAGGTGCTCCAAAGCTCAAACAGAGGTACCAAGCAGCACGCGAGCAAGTTAAAGGTCATCAAGCTGGGCACTGGTCAGCACCACAAAAAGCAAGAAGCAGCAGTAGAGTAAATCCAGACATAATACCTATAGAAAACTTTGAAATAGACCCTATGTGCATGTAAGACGATAAAGGTATGGATTTGTGATTTGTCTTTAAATTGTGGGACATTTTCACTGTAACTAAAGCCGTTTAGCACATATGCTCTCCTGAAAATATCTAGATCATTTCAGGAGGACTGCTCCAGATATTCTCCTGACCCGACTGTTCATGCACCTCACAGCTGGAGACTATCCAGCGGAAGTAGCGGACCAAGCAACAGAGTCCGCTACACGATGCTATAATGAGAATATTTGCCTTTATATCAATGCTATGTGTAGTTTAACAGAATCACACTGTCAACAAAAGAGCTGAGAACAACATACTGATGAACAGCAAACATGATGCAGCAGTTCCCAGCAGTACGTGCACAGAGTTTGTAGCGGTCGAGTGCATACAGTCTATGATATAAATGTGACTCCCTCCTCCCATTGGCTCGAGGTGAATTCTCTGGATAATATTCTGCTGGGTTCTCACATCAGCTCACTCGGATTTGCTGCTGAAAAAATACTATGGGTCTGACGGGAGAAACTCCGGAGTGAAAAATGTGGTTGTTTGCGTTCACACATACAGCTCCTTCTGGAAATATCAAGTGTGAAAGCCCTATAACTAGCTACAATGAAGTTTGATTTGTCTCACCTGCTCATGACTAAGCAATGTGACATTTCATCAGCAGTTTGTTTTACACAAAAAAAAAACAAAGTCCTATTTTATACCATCTCCGTTCCAAATTTTGTGTGTGCACAAATACATTTTTTTTGGCATATATACAAAAATCTTTAGACAGACAGGGCAAGAGTTGCATCTGGAATTTTTTTTTTATCACATCCTACACTAACAGTAAATCTTTGCAAACTAGTCTGTAACTATTATGTGGCTCTGCGACGTCACACATTCAGGACTGTGCACAGTCCACAGATTGAGTTTTTTACTGTTCACGAAGGACAGAGAGCTAGCGTGCTGTGAGAAGTAATTTGCTGAATTTGACAACAATGTTCTGGATCAGACTCCCCTACCCCACCTCAAAGAGTGTTGTGAAACTTCAGAGTCAGACACTGAGATAAAATGTGTGTTCAGTGTGTTTGTGATATCTGTTAAGACTGAACTATATGATGATGTAGAACAGCTGCAGATGACCATCCAACAACTGAGTTAGCTGCATTCTTTAGCCCGTATCCACCAGCACAACACACACACACACACACACACACATAAACACACACTGTGGCACACAGCAGCTGCACACTCCGCACTCAGTGAGACCTTGATGGAAAGAATGGAATATTTCAAGGCCTAATGAGCAGAGAGTTCACCATATAGTGGTTCTGTAACACCCTCCCCCTCCCCGGGGTCTCTCACCCTCTCCCCTTCTCTCTTGTCAGAGTGTTTAGTTTCGTCAATAGGCAAAAGTCCCAGGGGCCTCTTGGATTTGGCTCCGACATGGGAGAGCTAGAAAGATAGGAGTTTTTTGTGTATGTGTAGGATGGGGTGGGTGTACGGCAGTGGGAGTGTTTGTTGCAGACGGAGTGGGATAATTGGGGAGTCTTTTTTTTTCTTTCCCTCTCTCTCTCTCTCTCTCTCTCTCTCTCTCTCTCTCTCTCTCTCTCTCTCTCTCTCTCCCCTGACTTTTGCTGCTCCACAATTGTTAGATTTTGTTGAACAGATGTGAGTTACTCCACCGTGGCTGTTAGACACACACACACACACACACACACACAAACACAGCAAGTAAGTCTGGAGAAGCTGGGCAGAGCTTGAAGGTTTTGTTTTTGGGGTCACTGGTTGTTACAAGTTCAGTAAAGTAGAATGAGAAGGGGTGAGAGGAAGATGAAGAGAGGATTAGAGTAAGAGAGTTGTTTCCACTGAGCATCCAGTTTCAGGTTTTGAAAATAAGGTTGAGTTTCTGGGCTCTGCTGCATCTCATGTTGATTCTTTAATTTCTCCTTGATGCTTTTGATTTACTGGGAGAAACATCACAAACATCCATTGCCTTCTTGTTCTCATACTTACGATTGTTTTTAGAGTCACTGCTGGAGTCTCACATTTGTTTCAGCTTATTAAAGTCACTTTGGTTTCAATGCATTGTACTTTGAGGTTTTCCTGTATGATAACCCACTCTGATATCCAGATCCTCCATGAAGACAATGAGAAGGAAGTGGACTTTGGGAAGTTATTACATTGACTTGATCAGTTTGAAGATTTGATTTGACACAAAGTCCCCATTTTTAAAAGTTGAGCTTTTTTTTAACTCACTCCAAATGCACACAAAAAAAAAAAAAATCCCATCAAAAGATTTTCTTACATATTTGTTTCTGTGCTTGGGAGTTCTACTTTTTCAATTCCTGGAAAACATAAACTAACATTGATGACTCGTCCTGTAATTGGGGGGGCTTATACTCAGTGGAAGTTTATGTTTATATAATCTAAATGTAGTATTTCATGCTGCCTGATTCCTCAACTCATGTTTGGGCAACCAGAAAAACTGTTTGTGTCAACAGGCGCCCATTACAGGTCTTTGAGTTCATTTAAAACTGAAGATACTCACAAATGGTGAAAGCTTCTCCTGTAATGCCTCTAATTGACAATCTAAAGGCTACAGATTTAAAAATAAATATGAAAATGAAGATTTGATAATTGCTGTCAAACCTCAGTTGCTATCAAATATACCAAAGCCAAATCCGGATCGAGATCTTAGTGTCAACAAATGACCTCCTGGATTTGACTGCTATGGTCTGTCAGACGGTGAGACCGGCTCAGAGGGGCTCCTGGGTTTTTACATGTTGAGGAGGTGTTTGAGTTTACAGAGGGACACCCAAACCAGAGTGTCTAATTTTGCAGTGCTGTCCTCGTGTTTTCTCCCCCATCATGCTGGGTCTCAGTTGTTGTTGTGCATTGGTCCTTAATCATGGACCAATCATTTAACTGTCTGCCATTTCTCCTCAGTTAGCTCAGGCGTTAAGCTGACAGTATACAGTTAAAGAAATGTTTCCAGTCAAGAACATGTGCTCTCTCTGAAAGCTTTGGATGTTTTTTGTGTCACACTATAATTTGAGACCTTCTGTCCTACTGGGGCTATTTATCAAGCTGTGTTGTATCAGATTTAAAATCTGGAATTTTGGATATTTCGGTGTGATCCAGTTGAATCAATCACAAAGGAGGGTTACTAACTGTTCGGTGAAATATAACGCCCCTGTTTCAATAGTTTGCATGAAAAAGGAGAAGTAATGCCAAATATCTTCGCAAGAAGTATTAATGTTGTGCATTTAGTTAAAAGGATGTGTTAACATTTCCTGAGAAAGCTTGTCCTTCAAGTTCTAACTTTGTTCTCAGTGCACAAGAACACGTTTAAGTACATATTGATGAAAGTCAGATTTACGGGCAAACGTTGAGTACGGACGTTTTAAGAACAGATTTATGAGTATGCACTGTTTGTGAAGTTTTAAAAAAAAAAAAAGGCTTATACTGATTGGATGCTTTCTTTTTGAAAGGGAGGGTCTCGAATGAGCTGTCAAAGTTGTTTTCTTGCCCAGGGCTACTTGTAGGTGTGACTGTACAGCTCAGCTCACACTTGTGGTTAGAGACATTTGAAATCAAAGAGTCGGCATACAAATGGCTCATGGTGTATGTTTTATATCTACACTGGAAAGCTGCCATGTCAGCATCATATACCAGAGTACCTCATGATGGAATCAGCAATGATTGATTTGTTTTGAATTTGGATCTCTCTGTTCTTTGGTTCAGAACTAAACAAAAGCTTAGAAGCTCATAAATTCCAGCAAGGAAGTCATTATATGTTTGATTTGAACCTTCCCCCGGGACTGTAACCACTGAGACAATTGAGTGCAATTGGCTATCATCTTTTCTTTTGTTAAATTTGTGTTGAAACAATACTTACATTTAATGTTACTTTTAGGAGGAGACAATGTTGTTCACACTTTGAGGGCGTCTTTTTCTGCTCCTGCAGCACTTTGCTCTTCTTGTTCCAGCTGGTCCTGCTGAAGGAGACACATTCTCAGACCCCCACAATGCCCCGGGGCGTCGGGGTCATGGTAGATGTGGGGGGCAGGGGTTCGATTGGAA